TATAGACTTACCCCAAGAGGCCTGAGGATAGTAGTGCAGGCTAGGAGCCCTTGACTTTTTTTTAAATTGGGCTTTTGTACATTTCGTACAATAGTTCTTAATCAAATTTAGACCTCTTCCCCCACCTGTGCCCCTCCCCCAACACCCCACTGGACCTCATGTATTTCACCATACATGTTAAGTCCTATCCAGTCAAACATGTGTACCCAGATGTCCTTCAATGCAAATTCATCTGCTGGAGTCTAGTCAGCCTATCTAGAGATCGTAAGAAAGGCATACTCTTCCTCACCCAGTAGGAAACAGTCTCCAATAGTTCCCATTCTAGGGCGAGACTGCCACCCATTTCTCTGGATCCACTCTGGGTCTTTGTCTGATTGAGTTGGCATGGGTTCTGTGCTCAGTGCCACCATTGCCACAAATTCACATGTGCAAACTTCCAGTTGCCTGAAAGCCTCTGCTTCCCTGTGTTCATGAACCAGCCCTGGCTCTTAGTCTTTCTGCCCCCTCTTCTTCGATTGCCCCTGAGCCTTGGGTGGGGATATTTAATAAAGGAGTCCTATCCGGGGACATGCACTCTTCAGTCTCCTATTTTTTAAAACTTGGCCAGTTGTAGCCTTCTGTGTGCATTACACTCTGTTGTATAAGGAAGCTTCACTTGTGAGAGTTGACGGATGCAATAGCTTTCTCTCTACCCTGGTTCTGCTATGTTCCATGAGCCTAAGGTATAGAGGTTCAACTGTAGATGTGTCACCTAGAACTGGGCATCTCTCAAAAGTGTATTCTCTGTGTCTGATCAGTCGTGGGATTCTGCAGTAACCTCCCATCTATCACAAAAAGAAGCTTCTTTGATGAGTGGTGTACAGTATGCTTCTCTGTAAATATAAGGATTCGTATCTAGCATATGGTAAGAAATTTCAATTGTCTATAGAGATACGACAGATAGAGTTTTCTGTAGGATCTGTGTCCTCTCCAGCCATGGGTATTTGGATGTGTTTACAGTGCCACCCATGAGTTCATTCCCATCGATAGGGCTTTAAAATCCAATTAGATAACTATTGGTTACCCCCAAAATAACAATACCAGTACTGCACCACTAGAATAGCCTTTACTTTTAAAAGAGTTCTCTAACTTCCTCAGTTTAGTGTCCCACTAATTTTTTTTCATGGTGTGTCCATAGGTCAAAATATAAACAAACAAGTAACTATTCCACAGTTATATTTCTCAGGAAGACATACATGCCTATAATTCCAATGCTTAGGAAGCTGAGGCAGGAGAGTTCAAGGACAGCCTGGGCTATCCATAGTAAGAGCCAATTTCAAAACCAAAACCAGAAAGGGCCTGGAGGGTTGGCCCAGCAGTTAAGAGCATGACCGCTCTCTTGCAGAGGACCTGGGTTCATTTCCCATCATCCACATAACAGCCAACAACTGCCCATAACTCCAGTTCCAGGGGATCCAATGCCCTCTTCTGGCCTTTGCAAGCATTGAACGCATGTGATGCACTGTATGTACAGGCAAAACACTCCTACATATAAAATAAAAATAAGTCAAAAAAATTTAAATAGTTATTCATTAGTATTTATGTAAGTGTTCTGGTGTCCTGCAGCTCTTCAGCAAACCACTTGGAAACCCATTCTTCTTTTATACCAATTCCTTTATGCTAGATGTGCACTTTCATTTTTTTAATTGCAAAATTGCACACATTAAATTTGTCTCACTTCTGTCTCACCTACATGTAAAGCTGATGTCTCTTTTTATATTTACATCCTAGCCCGAGAGTGATAAGCCACACAGATTCCTTATTCATTCCATACAGTTTTCTTTCATTCTAAATTCAGATTCCTGATAAAGGAAAATGAAACATGAACCAGTACTGCCAGTTAGTTCCTAACTCAAATCCTATTGGCCAGATTTTTTACTCCATAAAGATTTTATTGCTTCTATCATTTGAAATTTCCTATAAGCATGCCCTTGGTTTATAGAACTGACCTACTTAATCTGGAAAATTGCTGGCAATTTTGTAGTTTGTATTCTAAACAGTAGAGGTGTCTTTTTTTTGAGGAAGTCTCAGTCTGTGTGTGTGGCACAGTGTCTTCAGATATTATGCTCTTGACTATCTTTCCCAAACTACACTGGATGTAAGGGGTTAAAGGCACTGACAGTTCGTGGTATAAATTATAAAATATTGACAAAATATCTCTTGATCATAGTTACCCACTCTCTTAAGTTAGAGTATTCTCAAGGAACAGTGCAAGTAACAGAAAGTAGTTTTTGTGCCTAAAACCTTGTAGAACGCCAAGAAAGTTATCTTAAATTCTGTGGGGTGAGATTCTACCCCAAATCTCAGATTTGTAATATATTTTGGGTTGAAGTTTAGAATTAAGACAGAGGAACGAAGTGAATCATAAAGTTAGTTACATCAGACTCAGTAGAATAAATAGTAAGAATGAGGTGACTGGACTTGCTTTCCTCCATAGTACATAGCCCACCATTTCAGCAATTTAAAGAACAAAGACTACTTCCATCCCTAGTATCTGCCCTTTTAATCTGCCTAATCTTTGATAAGTCTTTGCCCCACATGTCTGCCTGATCTGCTCAGCAAGCAAGGGCATGTGGGAAAGAGAAGTCTGACAAATTGAAGAGAGAGGTTTCTGTGGTTACTGATGGTTCATTGTATGTATTTCTGGCCTTGAACTTCAGAAATACATTAGCCGGAGATTGTCTGAATATAAGTTCTGTTCTTTAAGATAAATGTATAAGTTTGTAAAAACTAATGTACAATTAAACATCACAAAATTTTACTTAAAAATATTGAGGGTTTTTTTAGTATGTGCTTTGTTTATTGTATTTGTATTTTGTATTTTTTGTGGTATTTTATTCCAGTGTGTGTCCATTGATGTCTTTTCTGGTTTTTTTTTTTTTTCTTTTTTTTTTCTTTTTTAATTATCCTAGTCGCGTGAACTGGAAATTTCAGTTTATTGGCGTGATTGGCGATCTCTGTGTGCTGTAAAATTTCTGAGGTTAGAAGATTTCTTAGACAACCAGCGGCATGGCATGTGTCTCTATTTGGAACCCCAGGGTACTTTGTTTGCAGAGGTAATGAATGTATTTTATTAAATGTGCATAACTGCAGTCGAGATTGCAAATGTAGCAGCATGGTGTAGAACTGGAAGAGCAGTAGGCGAGAGAGAGACAGGTGCCGGAGCTCTAGACAGCCGTGCTCCTGCTAGTGTCACCCTGAGGGCACTTACTTGTCTTCCATTGGTCTGCGTTCGCCATAGAAAATGAAGGGGTTGGGCTGAGTTATAGCTAAAATTCCCTTGTGTTTTAAAAACAGTGGATTTCATGAACCATAAATCCAGTGCTGTTTTCATGTCACTTGAATTTTCTTTACCACAGGTTACTTTTTTTAATCCAGTTATTGAAAGAAGACCAAAACTCCAAAGACAGAAGAAGATTTTTTCAAAACAACAAGGTAATTACTAAGAATTAAATATGGAATGTTTTATTTCGTGTTTTGTTTGTAGAAATTCCAGCTATCCTGGTAGAAGTAATTTATTTTTAAATACCATTCATGCTTTTACACTCTCCTTTAATTAAAAACAAAATAGTTTGCTGGGTGTGATGGCGCATGCCTTTAATCCTAGCACTCAGGAGGCAGAGGCAGGCGGATCTCTATGAGTTCAAGGCCAGCCTGGTCTACATAGTGAGTTCTAGGACAGCTGAGGCTACAGGGAGACCCTATCTCAAAAAGACCAAAAAAAAAAAAGCTTTTAAGAACTAGTTTTTTTAAGTTACACATTTGTTTTGTTCTTTGTAAGTTATAAACTGAATATGAATTTTTAAGTTATGACTTTGGGTACTATATAAAGAATTGCTTGTCCTATTTTCTTTATTTATATCTATAGGCAAAACATTTCTCAGAGCTCCTCAAATGAATATTAACATTGCTACTTGGGGAAGGCTGGTGAGACGGGCCATTCCTACAGTAAATCATTCTGGTACCTTCAGCCCTCAGACTCCAGTGCCTGCGGCAGTGCCGGTGGTTGACGTGCGCATCCCAGAACTGGAACCTCCAGCTAGGTATGTGTCTTAAGATGCTCACTTGACCTTTCTAGATGTATTACAGTGGTCGCACTAGGTGGTCAGCTTGTTCCAACTAGTACTGTGAAATTGCTGCTTTGCTTATTTAAAAGAAATTAGTTTTCTTTGATTTTGTAACTGTTTTAAATAAAGATTTTGATTGCTGTTTTGGTAAATTGCTTTGTCTTCTGTAAGTGATTCTACAGTAACCAAATTGGACTTTGATCTTGAACCTGAACCTCCTCCAGCCCCACCACGTGCTTCTTCCCTTGGAGAAATAGATGAATCTTCTGAATTAAGAGTTTTGGATACATCCAGACAGGCAAGGCATTTTAAACTTTGTGTAATTCTCTTACCAGATGAATCAGCAGTAAAAGCATCACAGTGACTAAAGTGCCTTTCAATTAAAATTGACCATGTGAACTATATGCTTATTTTTAAAAATATTTTGCTTTTTATTTTGTGTATATGAGTATAATACCTGCATGTAAGTACACCCATGCCATGCAATGCCCTTGGAGGCCAGAAGAAGGCATCACATTCCCCTAGAAATGGAGTTATGGACAGTTCTCTTTTTTTTTAATATTTATTATTTTTATTTTATGTGTATGAGTGTATTACCTGCATATATGTGAGTGCACCCGTGCCATGCAGTGCCACGGAGGTCAAAAGAGGGCTTCGGATTCCCCTGGAACTGGAGTTAAGGATGGTTCATAGCCACTGTGTGGGTACTGGGAATCAAACCCGGGTCCACTGCAGGAGCAGTCAGTGCTCTTAACTGCTGAGCCATCTCTCCAGCCCCTGAGTTATAGACAATTCTTAGCTGGCATGTGGGTGTGGGATTTGAATCTGGGTCCTCTGCAAGAGCAGCCAGTGCTCTTAACCACTGAGTAATCTCTCCAGCACCATGTTTATATTTTTTATGAGTGAACTTGTCTTAGGTGACAAAATTGATAGGAGATAGCCAAGTTCTTCATGTTGGAATACTTGTCATCAACCTCCATGTGCTCACAGGCCAAATGGAGTGCAGTGGGCAATGTAAGATAGATGCATGGTGATACTAGATGTCTGCTGCCTGAAACAGATTGTGTCTTGTTACTGGGTTGACAGCTTGTAAAGAGGATAATATGTTGCTTTCTCACATTTTTATCAAATTAATTGCTATAAAAAATAAGTAATAGCAGGCATGGTGGCAGACGCCCTTAATCCCAGTAGAGGCAGGCAGATCTCTGTGAGATGGAGGCCAGCCTGGTCTTCATAGTGAGGTCCAGGCCAGCTGTTCAGGGAGACCCTGTCTCAAAAAGACAAAAAAAGAAATAAGTAATATCTGTAGTTTTTTTCTCTAATACTTATGTTGTATTTAGAGTTGTTTCTTCAACTTTATGCTTATCAAAAATATATTTTCTGGCTGGGCGTGGTGGTGCACGCCTTTAATCCCAGCACTCGGGAGGCAGAGGCAGGCAGATCTCTGTGAGTTCAAGGCCAGCCTGGTCTACATAGTGAGTTCCAGGACAGCTGGGGCTACAGGGAGTCCCTGTCTCAAAAAGACAAAAACAAAAGTATATTTTCTGATATTCCTTAGTTTAATGAGCACTTCATATTTTACAGGGTTCAGAAACTGTCTTCGATATTGAAAATGACAGAAATAGTATACGTCCAAAATCCAAGTCTGAGTTTGAGCTCACTATTCCTGATTCGGGTCTTGGACACAGTGGCATTCGAGAACTGGAGGACACGAGGTAAAGGCCTTCCACAGCATTCTGCTGCTGGATAGCTCATTCTATACTTGATTTGATTACATCATTTTTTATTATTATTATGGTTTTAGATCTCAACAAAGGTTTCAGTTTAATCTACAAGACTTCAGATGTTGTGCTGTCTTGGGAAGAGGACACTTTGGAAAGGTAATCTTTTCAAAATTTTAGGAATACATACTACAGGATTAAAAATTCAAATAGAAAGTAATTATTTTAACCTCATTTCAGGTGCTGTTGGCCGAATATAAACACACAAATGAAATGTTTGCTATAAAAGCCTTAAAGAAAGGAGACATTGTGGCTCGAGATGAAGTAGACAGGTTAGTTTTTGAAAAATGAAAATTTTCTCTGAGGTTATAGATTAAGAGAGTTGATGCATATTGCAGCAATAAATCTGAGTTCATAGTATATTTAATAAAACTAACTGTAACTCTGTTTGGCAAAAGATAGCTATTAAGTGCTGTTCTTTCCAGCCATTTCTTTCCCACAACACTGCTTTGTGGCTACCAAGGAAAGTGTAAAATGTTTGAACTAATTCTATTAAATTTTAATAAGCTGAGATGTTAAAATATTAAATTATTTGTGATTTAGTAAAACTAATTGCATTTTCTGTGACGCTGATAAAATGTCATTTATTAATAATCTGTAAGTTAGTGATTAATGTCTTCAGCCTTTTGAAATATACTTTTATGTGTTTTCCCTGTTTTTAAAAATTATGCTTATTTTACGCATGGGCACACACCATGGCATAGTCTGAAGACAACTTGGGGATGTTGTCTGTCTCCTTCCACCATGTGGGTAGGTCCTGGGGATTGAGCTCCAGTTGTCAGGCTTAGCAGCAAAAGCCTTTACCTGCTGAACCAGCTCATTGGCCTTCCATATTTTTTAAATCATTTATATTTTACTGTAGGGCCTTACCTCTGAAAGAATGTAATAAATGGACATTGCTGTGGATACTCCTTTGTATACAGCTATTAAAATGCAAGGGCTAGGCAGACGTGGTGACACATGCCTTTAAGACAAGCACTTGAGAGGCAGAGGTAGGCAGATCTCTGTGAGTTCGAGGCCAGCCTGGTCTACATAGTGAGTTCCAGGACACCTGGGGTTATAGGGAGACCCTGTCTCAAAAAAACCAAAAAAAAAAAAAAAAAAGGTGAGGATTGTAGGTATAAAGATAAAGATTAGAATTGAATTTGAGTAATTTTAATACAATTCTTATATATGGAATTATTTTATAAAGATGACATGTTTATCAGAAAGGTTTTCATGTAATGTTTAGTTTTTTTCAGCTTTTACCTTGTTTTATTTTTTTTCATAAATTATACATATTTATATATTTATTTGTGCACATGACATGACAGAAAACAACTTTTAGGAGTTGGTCTTTCTTTCCACCATGTGGTTTCTAGGCATTGAACTCAGCGTGTCAGGCCTGTGGCAAGTGCTTTTACCTGCTGAGCCATCTTGCCCCTCTTGTTTGATTATTTCTATCTTGTACGTATTATGATGGTTTTTTGATTTGGAGAGGAAAAACCCCTTGATCTTTGTCTACTTAAAACTTCTTATTATGCAGACTTCGTTGTGACTTGGGTTGGGTTAGCCAGTTGTCATAATATCTGCAATTGCTTCGCTAGTTTGGCTCAGAGGAAGTGTCTCTATGGTGTTACCCCTCTCTTTATGACTTTTGGTCATTTTCGATTTATTCTACCTATGCTGAACTGAAAATTAGTCCATCATAGTTTTGAACAAGAAAAGTAGCACACGGTATTTGTTGCATGCTAAAGCAGGGGAATATTTGACTTCCATGATTTCTGTAAATTGGAAGCTGGGTTTGTTGTTGTTTTAATTTTTAAAGAAACTTTATTGAGAGTTTCATACATGCATATAAGATGTTTTGATCAAATCCATGCCCACTCCCTCCCCTCCAACATCTCCCATATCTCCCCATCACTTTTTTCTGGAAACTTCATATTTTTTCTTCCTCCCTCCCTCCCTCCATCCCTTCTTCCTTCCTTCCTTCCTTCCTTCCTTCTCTTTCTCTTTTTTCTCTTTTCTTTTCTTTTCTTTTCGGGGCTTTTGGCTACTCTAACAATCCCCCTCTGAAGAGATAACCCTAAAATCTTTTAAGGATTAGATACAAGCTCCCAAATACTTTTGACGTTTTTGGCCTTTGGAACAGAGTATGTTGCTAAGAGGCCCAAGGACATTGTGAGTTTTAGCCAAGAAACTGGCTACTTTTCTTTGGGGTCTTTTTACCCTGACTGCCTAGCCAAATCATACCTCCTATTCTTATCACACCATCCTCTGAAGAGGTTACCCAAATTGCCAATAGGGAATCAGGATGCAGTCCACTGTGGCTTCTTCTATGCTGAACAGGGACACAGGGTGAGGCAATTGGAGTACCCCTTCAGTGGGTCTATCTAAAAGACTCCCAAATGGCGTAACTGTTACCTGTAGGGAGAAAAGAAAGTCCAAATGATATTTAGTATCTTACTTATACTCTGAAGATTCTTAATAGAAGATAGCCCTGCAGGGGCTAGAGAGATGGTTCAGCAGTTAAGAGTACTTATTGTTCTTGCAGAAGACCCAGGCTGTTTTCAGCACCCACCTTGGGCAGCTCACAGCCACCTGCAACTTCAGTTCCAGGGAATCTGACCCCCACCCCACTTCTGGCCTCTACATGCATGTGATATACGTTAACTCAGTCAGGCACACACACATATACATAAATACATTTTTTAAAAAAGAAAATAGCCCTGAATAATGAAAAGAGCCCAAAGCCACATGAGAAGGCTTCCTTTTCTAGTCCTGATTGTTCCTTCTTAGTAAGGACTTGACACTGGGGAACGTCACTGAACATCTTTTTGCTTCAGTTAACTCATATATTAAGTATACATATGTATACATACATATGTATGCATGTGAATGTGGCTAGATAGAAAGATTTTTTGTTGTATTTTAATTTGTTTTTCAAGACTAGGGATTCTGCCTGGGCCCTCGTGCATGCTAGGTAAGAACTCTACCACTGAGCTACATTGCCCAGCTCTTTATTTACTTTTATGCTTTGATCTATTATTATTATTAATTGTTGTTGCTGCTGTTGGTTTTTTTCTTTTATATGTATGAGTATATTGCCTGCAAGTATTTAAGTGCATTCGTGTCATGCAATATCCCTGGAGGTCAGAAGAGGCGTCACATCCCCTGGAATTAGCCTTACGGACAGTTGTTAGCTGCCATGCTGGGAATCAAATCCAGGTCCTCTACAAGAGCAGCCAGTGCTTTTTAACTGCTGAGACATCTCTCTAGCCCCTTACTTTTGTAAATTTTTAATTGAATTTTTGTGTATTTCATATAGACCATCTTAATCATCTTTATACCCCCTTCCCCATTGACACCCTTCCATAGACCCACTCCCATTGGAAAATTCATGCATTCTGCCATTTGTGTTAAGACCTATTGAGTCGAGTTAGTGTCCCCAGACGTCCTTCAGTGCAGGTTCATCCACTGAGGTCTACTCAGCCTATCTAGAGTCTCTCCCTTTAAGATCAGCCCTTCCTCACTCAGCAGTAATCAGCTCTTCAGCTAAGATTGGGGCCTGCTGCCCATATCCACAGTTCTGTGCTGGGTTTTTGTCTGCTTCAGTTTGCATGGGTCTTGTGCATGCTGACACCGTTGTCCAACACCTTACTTTTATATTTTGAAACATGTAGCCTAAGTAGAACTCAAATTTGTGATTTTCTTACTTCTGCCTGTCACATATCTGGGATTACAAGACTGCATCACCAGACCTTTTCATATACATATAAATATATACACATATGGGGGTTGTGTGTATGTGTGTGTTTAATCATATATGTCTTATTAGTTAATATACTTGTACTTTTTTTTTCCATACAGTAATTCTTAGAATTAGGATAGGTTCTTGGGTATAGAGCATACTCTTGTAATTCTAGCATACTAGGGACTAAGGCAGAACCATTGCTGTGATGAGTCAGGGCCAGCATGGACTACATAGTGATAACCTGCATTAAATCCCCCCAAAAGAATTAGGCTTAGGAATTGATATCTTTTTCTTTATGTAAAAAAAAAAATCATTTGGGGTTACTTACTTATTTTGTTACCTCTATGGGGGTTTTTTTGGTGGGTGGTTTTTTTTTTTGGTCTTTTTGAGACAGGGTCTCCCTGGAGCCCTAGATGGCCTAGAACTCACAGAGATCTGCCTGCCTCTGCCTCCTGAGTGCTGTGGGGGGTTTTGGGTTTGGGTTTTTGTTTTTTTGTTAATGTGTATGCATGTATTGCCTGCATGTAGGTAATTGCACCCATGTCATGCAGTGCCCTTGGAGGACAGAAGAGGCCATTGGATCCCCTGAAACTGGAGGTATGGACAGTTGTTAGCTGCCATGTGGGTGCTGGGATTCGAACCCAGGTCTTCTGCAAGAACAACCAGTGTTCTTAACCACTGAGCCGTCTCTCCAGCCCCACCTGTACGTTTTTTAACGCATTCTCATTAATCACATCAAAACATGGGGATTTTGTTGATATTCAGAACTACCAAAAGAGGATTTTTCTAGATACTTATAAAATAGTCAATGATGTTATATGCTTGGAACTATTTTTGTTATATAAACAGATTGAGTCCACTAGAAGGTCTGATTATACTTGGAGTATCGGGAGTGTCAAATGTTATACTTCCTGGAAGAATATTGCTTTTTTTTCCAGATTTATAAATGGTGAACTGGGGCTAGACATGGTGGCTCCTGATTTAATCCCAGCACTCAGGAGGTAGAGAACAGGCTGATCTCTATGAGTTCAAGGCCTGCCTGATCCACATAGTATGACCCTGTCTTTTAAAAAAAAAAAAAAAAATGGAGCCAGGGGTGGTGGTGCATGTCTTTAATCCCAGCACTCTTGTGAGTTCAAGGCCAGCTGGGTCTACAAGGAAACCCTGTCTCAAAAAGACCAAAAAAAAAAAAACATAGTGAACTCATTTGTTTTGTAAAATAGTAAGAAACTGGTTATAGATTGAGCATATATAATCCATAAATCTGAAACTTGAAATGCTCCAAACTCAAATTTTAAAAATGTTTTAAATTTTTTATTTTGTGTGTATGAGTATTCCACCTGCATGAATGTAAGTGTGCCACATGCATGTGGTGCCCACAGAGGCTAAAAGATGGTGTCAGATTCCCCGGAACTAGAGTTACAGACAGTTGTTAGCTGCCATGTGAGTGCTGGGAACCAAACCCAGTTCCTCAGCTAGTGCTTTTAACTACTAAGCCATCTCTCTAGCTCACAAACAAAAACTTTATTTTAAATGTGATACCAAGTCTACCATTCTATGTTCACAAATGTTTCATGCACAAAATTATTAAAAATGTTATAAAATTACTTTTAGGTTTTGGATATAAGGTATATATGAAACAAATGAGTTTTTAGACCTGGTTCCCATCCTGGTGCTATAGCTCATTATTTATCACTAGAACATTTTTGGTCTCAAGCATTTCAGTAAAGGTATATTCAACCTGTACTGGTATCTTATATAATTTTCTTTTGTATTGTTAACTACTTAGAACTGAATCTTTGTAGAAAGACTGTTTTCTAATTAACTCAATAATAAAAATATACATATTACCATTAAATAAGAAAGTATAGATCAGAGGCTAGAACTCTAGCTAGAACCTAGCTGAAAATGAATCTAGCCTTCAATGAAAGTTGACAGGTGATCCAAATAACTTCAGTTTTAGAGTTCTCTAGTTTTTAGTAACATGAGAATAAATCTCAAATACAAAAATGAAAAAGTAGAAAGTTTCAAGAATACAAAATAAAGCTCATCCTAGAATAAATCAAGAAAACAATCAGTTGAAAAAAAACATAGACCAGCATATTCATTTATTTTGTTTCTTTGTTGGAGACAGGGTCTCCCCGTAGCCCCAGCTGGCCTGGAACTCAAAGATCACAGTCAATTTTCCTATCATTATTTGAACACTCTCATTCCTACTTCCCAGTGCCTTATCAAATCTCCTCACCCAGTTTTCATACAAGTTCATATTAAATATAACAATAGAAATGGAAGTATATATTTGTACTACAGAATGAAAGCTTTCCAGCTTATATAGGGTTCAATCATAAGACCTTATTAGTGATGTGATTTTCCACTGCCTAAGATGTTGTGTCTTTCATAGCTAATAACGTGAACTCTGAAGGAAGTATACAATGATGAAACTAGTTAGGAAAAACATAAAAGCACATCTTTGTCTTGAAAATACACACAGACCGGAGAGCTGTCTCAGTGGTTAAAAGCACAGGCTGCTCTTGCGGAAGGCCCAGGTTCAAATCCCAGCACTTACATGACAGCTAACAACCATCTGTAACTCCAGTTCCAGGGGATCCAATACTTTCTTCTCACCTCCATGGGTACTTCACGACCTGGGTGCACTTACCTGCACACTCATATACGTAAAAATAAATCAATCAAAAAAATAAAAAGTAATACAATCTCAACTTATTTGGAGGATATTTTTGTATACTGACGGGCTTAGGGATTTTTTTTGTTTTTTTTTTTCCCCACGCCCCTGTAGCTGGTGGTTAAAAGGGCCACCCAAGAAGGGCAGGCGGCTCCAGTTATGCTCAAGCAGCGTGCTATGGCACTGCAGCTTAACCCTAGCACCATGAGGAGGCAGGATTTTTTAAATTTTTAATGGAGAAATTGGATTTGTACTTTTTATTTCAGCAATTGAAAGTTACTAAATTTAAAGTTTGAGGGGCTTGCAAGATGTTTTAGAGGGTGAAGGCACCTGCCTCCAAGCCTGACAAGCTGAATTTTATCCTTAGGACCCATGTGGTAGAAGAGAACTATCTAGCTCTTGCAAGTTGTCCTTTGCTGCATATGTGCTGTGGAACATAAGCCCACATGTGTACACTTGCGTGCATATGTGCACACAAACAAATAATTAAATATAATCACAAAAATTAAAGTTTGAATAAAGTTGGGTTGTTGTGGAGACTTTTAAGGGTAATACATAATTTAGATAATGTTAAAACAGTTTAAAATTTTTGTATTCTTATGTAATGTAAAATCCTTAAAATTATTTTGATAATCTGAATTATTAAAGAGCCTTCCTATCTAATTGTTGTCCTAGACTTTTTTTTTTTTTTTTTTGGTCTTTTTGAGACAGGGTCTCCCTGTAGCCCCAGCTGTCCTGGAACTCATTATGTAGACCAGGCTGGCCTTGAACTCACAGAGATCCGCCTGCCCCTGCCTCCCAAGTGCTGGGACTACAGGCGTGTGCCACCACACCTGGCTAGACTTCTTTTTTTACTTAAAATATTTTATTATTTTTATTTTATGTGTATGCATGTGTATAAGTGCACCTGTGTCATGCAACACCCTCAGAGGTCAGAAGAAGGCATCATATTCCCCCAGAGCTGGAGTTATGAAGTGTTGTTAGCCACCATGTGGGTGCTGGGAATTGAACCAGAGTCCTCTGCAAGAGCAGTCAGTGCTCTTAACCATTGAGCCATCTCTCCAGCCCCTGCCCTAGACTTCTATCCTGTCCTCATGAATATTGTTGGTCACTATTAAAACATTCTTATAGCTAGCATAAAAACCATTTGCAGGAGTTCAATGAGTCTATCTCCTTTATCACTGACATGTTCAGTGCCTATCTAACCTAACGTCCATCCAGTTGAAAATTAGTGATTCACCCATAAATCCCAACCATAACAAATTACTGATTCACTCGTAAGTTCTATCCCATGTTTTTAATCTGCTTGAGCTTAATATATATTTTGTCTTATCCCCTCTGAATATTTTGCCTACATTGACTCAAAAAATGTAGTTTGATTTATAAAGTACATGTTTCAGAAACCATCTTAAACATTTTATCCAAAGCAGTTTTAGGATATATTTTTCAACCAAAAAAAAAAAATCTAAGCTTTTGAAAAAAATTTTGATGCTGATGATGGGGGAGGGGCATACACCTGTGGAGAACAATTTCTTGGAGTTAATTCTTTTCCCTCCAGAGATTGAACTCAGGTAACCAGGCCTGTGCAACATATGCCTTTACCCACCAAGTCATTTCACTGGCCTCTGCTCCCCCGCCTTTTTTAATTAAAAATAAAAGCATTAGGGGCTAGAGAGATGGTTCAGCAATTAAGAGTACTGGCTGCTCTTGCAGAGGACCTGGGTTCAGATCCCAGCACCCACACAGTGGCTAACTGTCGAAACTCCAGTTCCAGGGAGTCTGATGCCCTCTTCTAACCTCCAAGGGGATTGCACAACACAAGTGCACTTGTATACATGTAGGCAATACCCTCATACTCAAAAAATAATAAAATAGTAAAAAAAATAAATATAAGTATTAAAGTTTTTTAAAAGCTGGTGTTGGTCAGGCTGAAGAGATGGCTCAGCGGTTAAAAGCACTGACTGCTCTTGCGGAGGACCTGGGTTCAATTCTCAACACCCACATGGCGGCTATGAACCGTCCTTAACTCCAGTTCCAGGGGAATCCAAAGCCCTCTTCTGACCTCCGCAGCATTGCACGACACAGGTGCACTCACATACATGCAGGCAATACACTCATATGCATAAAATAAAAATAATAAATAAAATATTTTAAAAGCCAGTGTTGGACAAAGTGACTCATGCACTCAGGAGGCAGAGCAGGCAGATCTCTGTGAGATCAAGGCCAGCTTGGTCTATGTAGGAGTTCCAGACCAGCTGGGGCTACAGGAAGACCCTGTCTCAAAAAAAAAAAAAATCAGTCTTTGATTCTAAAGTGCATGTAGAAATAGAAATGAAGTTTGTTTAGTGTTGGAAACATTTGTATAACCTAGTTGTTAATAAGATACATCTATTGATCTTTATTTGTTCAGTTAATAAAAGTAAATAACTGAATAAGACTCAACCTAGTTTTCTCTTTTACTTTAAATTTTAAGCAAAATTAATTTATTATTTCCAGGCAAAGGAAGTATCCTTTTTGGGTAAAATGAATATTCCACACTCAGAAAGTTTACCACTCTTCTTTTTAATAATTTGTCTTGGTTCTTATAAGGAATATTACAGATTGTTATGTGAAGCATGTTGTTTCTCTTTGTTTTCTAGTCTGTTTTCTAGATTAAAATTTTAATGCAGCATATCTGTATTTCTTCAGGTTCATATTTTATAAGATAAAAATTTGAATAGTCTAACTTATGAATTATATATGATGTCCTTGGAATTACCATGGTCAAAAACTTTATTTATTTAGAAACAGGGTCTCACTATGTAAATTAACCATAGTTACTAGCCTTATTTGTGACAAGCTATTAATGTAAATTCCATAATCTTTATGCTGTGCTAATCATATTTTAATTTTCATTAATTTATTTTAGTTAACATTGTAAGTATCAAGTAGAACATTTCTCATAACATTGCAAATGATATGTTTTGTTAGTTTTAAAGTTTGCTCGTTTTAAGGTTTGGTAATTTTCTCTTCCAGCCTGATGTGTGAAAAAAGAATTTTTGAAACTGTGAATAGTGTAAGGCATCCCTTTTTGGTGAACCTTTTTGCATGTTTCCAAACCAAAGAGCATGTTTGCTTTGTAATGGAATATGCTGCCGGTGGGGACCTAATGATGCACATTCATACTGATGTCTTTTCTGAATCAAGAGCTGTGTGAGTATGCCATAGACGTTTGTCTGACTTTTCCATGACTGATTTCTTTCTGCAACTAAAAAGAGCTCTGAATTTTAGATCCTTGCCCCCACCATGGAAAATAGATCCCTGTAAGAAATACTAGAGTTCCTTATTTTTTGCTAAATGCTTTTTGTATTTATTTACTTACTCTGTTGTCCATGTTGAAAATTTCATGAGTTACTATTATTTCTTGTTGAAAATTTAAATACAATTTAGATTCATTTTAGTAGGTTTTTTTTTTTTTTCAATTTAGCTACTATTCTCCCTAAGGAAGGCATCCTAGAACTGTAACTTTCAAAATAAATTATACTCAAAGTACAGTATAATTTTTTTTAATGCAGAAGAGTTAATATATATTTGTATGAAATATTTGTATTTGTGGTTTAAATGGTAAGTTTGTGCTTACCATATTTCTAAAAGAATGTAAAAGAAATATATAGGTTGAATATTTCTTATTCAAAACACTTAGGGCCAAGCCAGGTGTGGTGGTGCACACCTTTAGTCCCAGCACTCAGGAGGCAGAGGCAGAGGGATCTCTGTGAGCTTCAGGCCAGCCTGGTCTACATAGCAAGTTTTAGGCCAGCTGGGGCTACAGAGAGTACCCTGCCTCAAAAAGACAAAAAAAAAAAAAAAAGTTTAGGGCCATAGTGTCTTGTTTTTTCAGATTTTGAAATTTGGTTCAAGCATCTCTAATCCAAAAATAAAATTCTTCAAACTCTATGCCTTTCTTTCCCCAAGATAAGATCTCATCACGTTTCCTAGGCTAGTTCAAACTTGATGTGTCCCAGACTGGCCTCAAACTCACAGTCTTCGTGTTTGGCCTCCCAGGTGCTAGGATTATAGGTGTGTATCACAACAACCAACTCCAAAACTTTGTGAATGTTCTTTTAGAGCCTTTCCTATTTCAGATTTGTGGGATAGGGATATTCAACTTGTATCCTTATTGCCACCAAGGAAAGGGATGGAAAGCACGCTTAACTGTAAACCATTTTTATGGTTTTGTTAAATGGTATATTAAAGTTTGCTTATTCCAATACATAAAAATTAGTACGAACTTAAGGTTGTAGATACATGTAGAATATATAGTATTTATTATCCCAATTTTGTAGCTCTTACGTGATGAAAAGCTAGAAAACTATTCCTATTAGCTACAACCTACATTCTGATATTTACCACATTTACAGCTTTAGCACCAATTGCTTCCTTAACCATCCAGCATTAATAGCATTCAGCTCAGGACCAGTTTTTCTGTCTGTAAATCTCACAAAAATTTCATTTATCATCTCAAATTGCTTTTTCTCATTTTCCCATGAGCATTTTCTACCACTTCTTATGCCCTCTTCTCTTCTGGTCTTCATCATCTTGGTAAAAAGCAGTGTCTTCTCCCATGATGTTCAAGTCCAACTGTTGAGCACCGTTCTTGGTCCCCCTTTTCTTTCCTGTAGCATCCGTAGCATTAACAAATCCAACTCTCCAAAATATGCCCAAATCAATAAATTTTTTTTTAAGTGCTTTTATTGATTTTACTAGTTTGTTTTCCGAGACAGAGTCTCCCTATAGCCCCAGCTGGCCTGGAACTCCTTATGTAGACCAGGCTGGACTTGGACTTGATCACACAGAAATTCACTTGCCTCTGCATCCCAGTGCTGGATTTAAAGGCATATGCCACCCGCCCTGTAATTTTTTCTACCCTTGAATTTTTATCTTATCTATTTTCCAATGAAGGAGCAACCGATATTCTTGTAGTGATTTCACTTTTATTCCTTTATTTGATTTTCCTTGTAACCATTGGAGGTTGTATAGAACAGACATTAATGATAGTGTCATAGCCTTCAAGGCTCCAGTAAGAAAATAGGAATCAATTCTGACGAACAGTGAAGTGTTCAAAACACTGTGGCCAAGTGGTATAAAGTTACTAGTAACTCATTATCTCAGTATTTAAAAATGTAAAGCAGCATAGCTGGGGGTGGGGGAGCATGTTGTCTCATGTCAGAAATTCTAGCCTTAGGGGGCTGAGGCGTGAAAGTAAAACTTTGAGGCTAGTGTGGACTGTTGTGGGACCGTATCTGAAAGAGAGAGGGAGTGGGGAGGGAGTGAGGAAAGGAAGAGAAGGAGATAAAATTTAAAACATAAAATAAATTATAGTAATGAACAACTTCCTGTGCTATAAAAAAATTCTAACATTGAGCTCGATATGGTGGTTCATGCCTTTAATTCCAGCACTTGGGGGACAGAGGCAGGTAGACTCTGTGAGTTCAAGGCCAGCCTGGTCTACTTAGAGAGTTCTAGGCCAGCTGGGGCTACAGGGAGACCCTGTCTCAAAAAGACCAAAAAGAAAATCTAAGATGATGGGGCCAAGTGAACCCATGGCTGTATTCTCAACATTCAGGAGAAGGAGGAAAACCCTGAGTTGAAGCCAACCTGAGCTACGTAGAAATCCCACAAAAATAAAAATAAATTAACCAGATAATTATATACAGGGGAATTCTTTTTTGTTTTATGTGTTTATTTTTAAGAAATATAAAATAGCCAGGAATGGTGGCACACATCTTTAATCCCAGCACTCAGGAGGCAGAGGCAGGTGGATCTTTGTGAGTTCGAAGCCAGCCTGGTCTACATAGTGAGTTCCAAGCCAGCTGGGGTTAAAGGGAGACCGTGTCTCAAAAAAAAAGACCAAAAAAAAAGAAATATAAAATAAGACCTGGAGAGATATTGAGCACTGGCTGCTCTTACAGAAGATCCAGTTTTGGTTCCCAGCACCCATATGGCTGCTAACTACTGTCCTTAACTCCAGTTCCAGAGGGTTCAATACGCACTACTGGCCTCTGTGGGCATCACATAACATGGGTGCACTTAAATACTTGCAGGCAAAACATTCATACATATAAAAGATAAATTTTTTAAAAATATTTTATTATTTTTATTTCATGTGTATGCATGTATTGCTTGCATGTAGGTAAGTGCACCCGTGTCGTGCAATGGCAGCAGAGGATAGAAGAGGCTATTGGATCCCCTAGAACTGGAGTTACAGACAATTGTTAGCTGCCTTGTGGGTGCTGGGATTTGAACCCACATCTTCTGGAAGAACAACCAGTGTTCTTAACCTCTGAGCCATCTCTCCAGCCCCCAAAAGATAAATTTTAAAGAAGAAATATAAAAATGTTTGTCATCTGACTCCCTCATTCACAGAATGACCATGTTCCACATCTGTCCTGTTAAGTAGTATAATATCTGGAAGAAAGCTTGGCACATACAGGGCAGTGGATTTTTATCAACTGAAACTATGGACTCACTAGTGTAGTTCACAGCTTTTATGTTTTCTAGTATGTGACCCCAAACAAATTTCTTTCTGAGCTTTGCTTTCTACTTCTGTAAAAAACAAACTTGAAGATTAAATATACTGCTTAAATTTTAAAAGAAAAAGATTGATTCATCAAGAATCTGGGGACAAATATGGACTTAGTGATTTTACTGAGCCTCATTGTCTGAGCACTCCGAGAAACAGCCACCATCTTCATCAGGTCAGCTGTGCCTGCTTACAAAAAGAGTGAGTGGCCTGTGGATTGCTGACATTCCCTCAGAGAAGGAAGGAGCAGGGAGGGTCAATGGACCCTTACCTGTGATAGCTCAGCTGCCCCTCCCAGCCATTTGCACAGCTTTGTTCTAATGCACTTGGCCTTGTGGATCAGACTGGGAGGGTTAACTGAGGAGGTTCCCTCTGTATAGCCATGGGGCCATCGCCATCCATGCTGGGTGCAGACCTTCCGGTTTGGCTGCTCATCAAGTTTAACAAATCACACTAATCCTTTAACTTGTTATATGTTCAATCAGATACATATTTGTAAATATAAATATTGGCATTTAAAAATTCTTCTATTTTATGGTCCCATTTTAAAAATAAATAAATGTAGCGAGTTCCAGGCCAGCTAGTGCTACATAGTGAGACAATGCCTCAAAACAGACAAATAAAAACTAAGTAAATGAAAACATGAGAATATTATGTACATGTAAGTATCAATACATTCTAAATGTTCAGAGCATTTACCTCACTAGAATATAATTATCTCTGTAGATTGTAGATGACGTCAGAGTAAATAGAATAGATGACTGAATTAAGTATTCTTTGGGTAAGGGATAGTGTTAACATGTATTTCATAGACAAGATAATTATATTATTAAATAATTAAGGACTGAGTTTCCTAAGTGTCTCTTCATAGACTTGCATTTGTAAATTTGTTCATTTATTCTTACCCTGGCTCAGCAAGCCTATTGGGAGCTGACTGTGCTGTGCCTTTGCGATCAAAACTAAAAAAGACAAGCATGACTCCATGCCTTCAGACTTTATTCTAGCTAGGCCGTTTTTCCTGCGAGCCAAACTCCTGTATCCAACTGCTGGGGGGGGGGGGGGGGGTTGTTGTTTTTGCCCTGCCTCGCAAGCAGTTCAAAATCAACATATCTAAAGCCAAAGGTTTTCTCAGCAAAACGTTGGCTACTTGTCTATTCTTTACTTACTTATTCCTGTTGTTGATAGGAACCTTAAGAGTTGTCCTCATTCTTCCCACCCTTGTCTTATATAACTGAGACATCCTGTCTCATCAAGGGGATTTTTCAGTTTTTATTTAAGCCATCTCTTAATTTCTTTGTTACCACTCATTGGATGTTCTTACAGCATTCAGGAGCCCACCCAGACTCCTTTTACCGAATATCCTGCTACTCTTTCCCCAACCCCCATATTCCCACCCTGTGCTTTAGCTGCACCAGAACTCGTTGCTAGCTGTCAAATATGCTATGCCTTTCACACCCCTATTCTTTTTCCCTTCAAGGGGATGTCCTATATTTATATATTTATCAGCAAAACTTCTGCTTCCAGCTCTGTCCTAGTATCCTTACAGCACATTGTAATTCTTCCTACAGGACCAGATCACATGTCCTGTCTGAGATCCCCAGTGACCCCACCAGGAAAATCAGCAGTCTTCATTGCTGTGACTGTACCTGTCTTTCTTTCTTTTTTTTTAATTTTACCCCTGGTACCTAACACAATTTATTCTGCATAATAAGGACTAAATAAATATTTGAAGAATTAACTAACTACAAAGTTGGGCTTTGAAGCATAAAAATATAAACTGGGGTTCAAGAGCAGTAAAGCTTATTAAACATTTGATTTAATTCTTCACACAGATTTTATGCAGCATGTGTAGTTCTCGGGTTGCAGTATTTGCATGAACACAAAATTGTTTATAGGTAAGTGAGTTCATTGTTTCTAAAAGCTTACTTCACTGTGAATTAGAATTAATAAGGGGGCTGGAGAGATGGCTCAGCGGTTAAGAACACTGTTCTTGCAGAAGACCCAGGTTCGAATCCCAGCACCCACATGGCACCTAACAGCTGTCTGTAACTCCAGTTCCAGGGGATCTGACGGTCTCTTCCGTCCTCCTCGGGCATTGCACAACACAGGTGCACTTACAGGTGCACTTAAAGGCAATACACACATAAAAATAATAAATAAAATACTTTTTTTTAATTTAAAAATAAAAGAATTGGGCCGGGTGTGGTGGCGCACGCCTTTAATCCCAGTACTCGGGAGGCAGAGGCAGTCAGATCTCTGTGAGTTCAAGGCCAGCCTGATCTACATAGTGACTTCCAGGACAGCTGGGGCTACAGGGAGACCCTGTCTCAAAAAGACCAAAAAAAAAGAATAAGGATAAGGATATTTTGTGTTTAGCCAGTGTTTTAATGTTCCCCTACATGTGATCAGTGAGCTCTATTCCAACTTGGAGAGATTTGTAACCAGCATGCTAATTATATGATGAGCTTCTTGGCTCTTGACCCTCTGCCCATTTCCTAATTAACATGTGAAAGGCTGAGTTGGTCAGTGATGACACAGTTCACCAGTAGTATTCATCCTAATGAATATTTTATATTTAACTAATCCACTGCAGAAAACCTCTATAGACCAGTGCTATTCAAAACTGACCATGAAAAAATAAGCAGCATGTGCCAGAATATAAACTATCACATTGCTCCTTTGTCAAGAATCCTTAGGCAGCACAGGTTGAACTCAGTGGTAGGGCAGTTGTGATGTGTGAAGCTCTAGGTTTGATTCCCAAGCACAATAATAAATGAATGATAAATTAATTAAATTTGCCATTACCTTAACTAAACAGTGTATTGGTGATGTAGGCAATTTATTTACTGGTATTAGCTCATTGTCAAATTGTAGACCAGTAGCAAACAGTTCATGGCCCAGCACCTAGCGTCTGAGCCACACTGTATATATACCTGACAAATAACTGGATTGAAAACCACTCCTGAAGAATAAGCAAATTACGAAGAAGTCGGTCAGAATTAGGAGATTATCAGCATTGCTTTAGTCAAACTTCTAACAATGTTTTCAAGGTAAAGATTTCCTCATGGTTCTGTTTTATTTAATAAAATATTTTCAACTAGCTTAATTTTTAATCAATTAGCTTTCTTTTTATTTTAAATTACTGTCAAGTTTAGTTTATACCTTATGCAGTTAGCCTTATTCTTTCACAGTGGTACCTAGACAAACCTCAGTCTTAGACTAAGTCAGGTTATATCAGAAATAAAAAATTAAACCTGAGTAAAAGGTGCTTAAACCCTTTCCATGCTTTAAAATAATATTTAAAGAGCTAAAATATACATTTTGTAAATACATTCTTGTCTACCTAACAAGAAAAAATTACTTAGAAACTATATTGTTACTTAACAAAAGGAAGAAAAATAAGCAATTTAAATCTCAAATTATAACTTGGAAAATCAGTTCTTAGAAAAGAAAAAATCAAGTTCCCATTGGGGAGGCACATTAATATTTTGTGCTGTGTGATCTCATTGTTTTCTTTTTTTTTTCTTTCTGAACAGAGATTTGAAATTGGATAACTTGTTATTAGATACAGAAGGCTTTGTGAAAATTGCTGATTTTGGTCTTTGCAAAGAAGGTAAGTGTGTTATAAAGTTCCTTTTCTAATAGATTATTTATGTTATTCCTTTGTGCTTTGATAGTTTTCAAATTCCTATATGGAAAACAAAATGTATTTTTAATTTTAGTTTATTCCATAAGACATTATGGATTGATCATGTAACCTAATGATGACATTCTTCTGTATATACTTATCATTCAGGCTTCTAGAAACTATAGTTAATAGTTCTGTCACAATTTTAAGAAAGTATTAAACAAGTTGCACATTCTGCTGGAACTGTGCCAAATGAAGTACATAGGCCTTCTCTCTAGTGCCTCAGAACTGTTAACATTTTAAATGGAAAAAAATAGAAATATATGATGATCTCAAGAATGTTTTCTGTATGTTCAGAATTAAATAAACCTGTGACTGAGGCAGTTGGAATCAGAGATCACATAGGAAAGTAACAAGCAGGAGCTTAAGCACTAGACAGTTTGACTTTGCCTTGCCACTTACATTCTGTGTGGTTTTGCATTGCCTTTAATGTCAGTGAGTTCATTCCCTCCCTAGGAATAACTAGAGATGAGTATGGGACATAGTATGTTACAAATTGATGGTCTCGTCTTTACATTTAATGTTATAATGACATCTGTTTCCCCTCTATACACCAATATCTCTTATTTCTTAACTCATCTTTGTTTTCATAACACACACACACACACACACAATTCTTGGCATATCGTAAGTATTCAGTGAATTTTCAATAAATAAGTAGTTTGGTGAGTGAATGAGATTTGTAAATACATGTTTATCACATACCACTGCCCTCTGGCCCTCTTTGTTTTTGTTTTTGTTTTGTTTTTTGAGACAAGGTTTCCCTGTAGCTCCAGCTAGCCTGGGACTCACTATGTAGACTAGGCAGGCTGTCCTCTATCCCACAGAGGTTAGGTGTCTGCTTCCCAAGTGCTGGGATTAAAGGTGTGCACCACCATGTCCACTGACCTCTTATTTGAAAGTTTTCCTTTAGTTGGGCTTTTCTGTATTAGAAACTGTTGAAAAAATGCTTTTTGTTCTTAGACTCTGTTCTTGCCATCTGCTAGTTTGTGAGCATGAGCTTCTGTTGCAGTTCTTCTATACCATTAAAGTCTTGGTGTATCTGAGTTGATCACCATGTATGCAACTTTAATTTTCCTTTCTGAGTGTACCTTCCATTTTCATGCTAGGCTGCTGTTTTTTTCTTTTCTTGTTGGTACTTCCAATTTTGTCTCTTTCAGGAATGGGATATGGAGACAGAACAAGTACGTTTTGTGGCACTCCCGAATTTCTTGCTCCAGAAGTATTAACAGAAACATCTTACACAAGGGCTGTAGACTGGTGGGGCCTTGGCGTCCTTATATATGAAATGCTTGTTGGTGAGGTAAGCAGTAAGAGATAGGTAAGAAACCCAAGAGAGAATGGCTGGAGGAATAATGTGTCATTTTTTTAAAGCCACCACTATGCCTCCTGCATAAGATATGCCTATGATTGACTGTGTTTCAATAATTTCTTTACTAGTCCATTTTAGATCTTTATACTATCTGTGAAATGCATTATGAATGTCTTGAAAAGAGTTTATTTAGGTTTTGTAGTATGGTGACGTTTTATATTTAACAAAGCTGATATTTCATAGGGAAGAGACTAATAAAGCAGAAGACTAATAAAAGTACTCTGCAGCCTGGGGAGAGCCAGGAATAGGGTACACAGCTGTAATCTTAGCACTTGGGAGGCTGAGACAGGAGGATCATTAATTGAGATTAGTCTGGGCTACATGGCAACACCACCTTGTCATTGAACTAAATTACGAAAAGCTTTACACTTACAAAGCAAAGTCAGCTCCATTTGTCAAAAGTAAATGTGACCTTCAAAACCAAACAGCAAGGCTGGAGAGATGGCTCAACAATTAAGAGCATATACTGCTCCTGCAGAGGACTTGAGTTCAGTTCCCAGCACCCACATCTCCAATACCAGCTGTATCCAATGCATTCTCTGACTCTGTGGGGACCTGTACTCAAGATGCACACATACCCATCACAGATACACACATACACATAATTAAAAATATTAAAAATAAATCTTTAAACCGGGTATGGAGGCGCATGCCTCTAATCCCAGCACTCAGGAGGCAGAAGCAGGCGGATCTCTGTGAGTTCAAGGCCACCCTGGTCTACATAGTGAGTTCTAGGACAGCTGGGGCTACAGGGAGACCTTGTCTCAAAAAGACAAAAAAAATAAAAAATAGATAAATAAAAATAAATCTTTTAAAAAACCTATACAGCAGAGTTGAAACAGTTAATATTTTCTGTATATTAAAATTAGTTTCTGAGGATAACTTGTTATACATAGAAATTTTTACAATTTAAGAAACCAACTTATGTGAAGAAAATAAAGGTAATAAGGGCTTAATATATGTTTATAAATTGTTAGGAATGATAAATGGGAATGGAATTCAGAATGAATGTGTGTATTGTTTATATGCACATATATAC